TGAAATTTCTTCCTTTTGAGCTAGTCTAGTAGAGTAATCTGAATGCATGATTCTCTTCAATAGTTCCCTTATCCTATTGCAAGTACTGCTGGAAGTTAAAAGAATCTGTAGCCTTCAATATGGAAATCACTGACTACCCATGTTTTCTGACATATAACCTTTCAACTTTGGACTTTTCTGGCTGCTATAAATTAGTGACTTACTAAAACCTGCTAAGTTTGAAAATAGTAAAGCAATGCATTAAAACTCTTCTGTAGTTGGTGGTTCTTTGCTCAGTTTTCCAACTCAAAGGTTAGATATATAATTCCTGATTTCGGAACAAGGGCTTTTGGGGAAATAGAAGCTTCAGGGGTGAAATTCAACAGGTTCTGGAGAACCGGTAGTGGAAATTTTGAGTAGTTCACAGAACCAGCAAATACCACTTCTGGCTGGCCCCAGAGTGGGGAGGGAATGGAGCAGTATCCTTCCCCTGCCATGCCCATCAAGCCAAACGTACAAGCCAGTAGTAAAAATGCTTTTTTAATAAAAGTTTTTATTTATAGACAAACATAAACAGACAAAATAAAGCCAAAACATAAAATCATTTTCCATTATGAACCGTGTGTCAATTGGTTACAAGATTTGGGCATTCTTTCCATAGTCATCACTTACATTTATATAAAATCATGTATTATCAACTCAAATATATTTGAATACCTTATTGCTATTATGTCTCATTTGCTTGACTGTATTTCTTCATTTTAATTGAGATATAGTAGATATTGGATTCATTTATATTATAACAATTCATAACATTATCATAAATATCTTCAATAATAAAATCTTTTTATATTATATTCTATATCATTCCATTATTCTGGTATTTACAACATTTACTGATATCTTTTATTTCCATTTTTTTATCTAACCACTGATAAAATGAGTCCGATATTCTATAAAAAAATTTATCTTCTTGTTCTCTAATATCAAATGTCAATTTACTCATTTCAGCACATTCCATTATTTTGTGAATAATTTCCTCCTGCGTTGGTATTTTCTCATTTCTCCAATTTTTAGCAAATGCAATTTTAGCTGCTGTTAGCACATTTACTATCAAATATTTCAACTCTCCATTGTATGTTTCCGGTATAATTCCCAATAAAAAAAATCTCTGGTTTAAAGTCTTATGTCTTTTTGTATCATTTTTTTCCAACCAATTGTGGATTTTAGTCCAATATCTTTTAGCTTCTGTGCAAGTCCACCACATATGGTAATATGATCCCGGTATCTGATGGCATTTCCAACACTTTTCTGATTTGTTCTTGAACATTCTTGCTATTCTTGTGCCACCTGTAAAAAACCTTATACAAATTTTCTTTGTATGCTTTTGAGATAATCATTTTATAATTTTGAGACCACAATTTCTGCAAATTCTCTAAATCAATCCCATATCCCCAAAATTTTCTCCAACCAATCATAGATTCTTTAACTTGTTCTTCTTCTAGCTAAATCTCTAACCCCATATAGTTCTTTGATTACTTTTTCATCAGTCCCTGTC